TCAAATCCAAAACATTTGAAAAAAAGACGAAAATATCAAAAGAAAAAGAAGTCAACCAATACAAATCCAGCACAAACTCAAATGGAATTTCACTTTCCAATATGGAGTTTTCATTTAGAATAAATTGTTTTTTTATAAAATTTATACATACAATATTAGAATGATAAAGAGCTTAGAAAACTTTGGCAATCATCGTCTTCCACATTTGGTAACTGTGACGAAGAATTAAATAAATTGCTGAATATCATCATTATATTATTTTCATAATTGAAAACATTCATTGGCAAGTCTCGTATTGAAGCAGAAGAGTCATTATTGGAGGCTTCAGGAATGGAATTACTATTTTTGGAAATATTAACAATCTTTTTTCTTACAATGTTCAATTGATTGGTGCCTATTACTTTGATTCCTCATTTTGTATACTGTTAATTGATCTCTCGAATGATCACCACTTTCAAACTCGAAATAATTCTTTAAAAAGTTGGAATTTCTCAATGATTTTTTAAATCTGGGTTGTCGATGACTTTTCAAATTCTCATCCCTCTTCCTACAATTATTGACAATCTTTTTAGTTTCATCAGTAAAATGTTGTGATGAGTTGATATTCTTCTTCATGTTGATGATGGTGATTTAATTTTTTTCTTCCAAGCAAAAATTCAGATTGTTGACTTACTAAGAGTGAGGGAATGTGTGTGCGTGTCTGTGTGAATCTCAAACAACAATCTAAAAACTATCTAATTAGCAGTAATGGTAGATTTCTTCAAAAGTCACGATGCGTTCAATACTATTTCTTCACTTCAAATTAGTAAGTGAAATGTCATTGAATGAATTGAAATGATTTGTTCACTCATATCCATTCTATTTAAATGGTGATCAAGTTGCGTTTCATATCATGTGCATAATTAAATTAGCAAATTATCAAGTTTATTAAATATATTTGTTGTATTATTTTTGATAATCATATAGAAATGAAATGGAACTGAGAAAACTTTTACAATCATCAAATTCTTCTTCTTCCTCTTTTGAATTATTAGTTTGACTATTATTACTATTACTATCACTATTATTAATTGAATAATTGACTCGAGAATTCCATAAATATGATAATTGATTATTAAATTGATTATTAAATTGTTGATTGTAAACTTGTTGAATTGGTAAATTAGCAGCAGTTGTAGTTGTGGTAGTAGTGAGAGGATATGAAATAGTATTATTATTATTACTATTAATAAATAATTGATTCATATTATTTACATCATTGTAATGATTAATAGTAAATTCATTATAAACTCGATTATTATATTCTAATTGTTGTTGATATTCTTCAACTCTTTCATTACTTTTCAATGGATTATTTCCAATATAATTGTTGTGATTATTTAAATAATTATTTGTAATAGTATTACTTGTTGTTGCAATACTATTCAAACTTGTTGATTTGTAATTCTTGCTCACTTGCACTTTCTCTGTTGTAACAACTTTATCAATTGTTGGTTTTCTACATCCAAATCGATGCATCTTCTTATCAATTCCATTATTATTATTATTAATAGTATTAATAGTGTTATTCATTGTAATGAAATTTTCCTTTTCTTCTTCTTCCTCTTTAATATTATTAGAACTACAACTGGTGGTGTTGGTGTTGTTGGTGGTAGAATTAGTAGCATTTGTAGTAGTAGTATTAATAATTTTGTAAACAGTCAAATCGTTTGATTGTTGCTTTTTATCAAATTCAAAGTAATTTTTCAGTAAATTATCATTTTGTAATGGTTTTCTCAATCTCGATTGTTTAATATTCAATTGATGATTTCTCTTTTTTACTTTAACTTTCATTGTAACATTACTAGTTTCATCAATGAATGACATGTTGCTATTACTACTGCTTGAATCACTCCGTCTAATCCCATGATTATTATTATTAGTACAAGTATTAGTATTAGTAGTAGTAGTAGTAGTATTATTATTACTATTATAAGTAACTCTATTAGTATTATTCTTCATTGTAATGTTGATTGTTGTAATTATTCTTCAATTTTTGATTGTTGTATTGTTTTTGTCTTGCTGCTGTGGTTATTGTTGTGGTTGTTGAGAAGTATTGAAGTTATATACTCATACCATATTTAGAACATGCCAAATGTAAACTCAAGTTTGAAATATATCAAAGTTTTTGTAAATTAAACTAATTCTATTGTAAGCCTTTCATAATAGTTTCATATATTTACCTAATATAAAATGATTTGAAACGCTCTCAAAATGTGCTTGACTATTGATACTACTCAATTATTGGCCAACTCTTGATTATATCTTGACTGTTCAATGGACACACAGAGAGTACTCACTGTGTAGGGTTTACTAGCTAATAAGAGAAATTGATTTGAAATGATTTTTTTCACTCATCATTTTCATGTGATCACATCCAATGTTGATTTGTTGACAGTAGTGTTGAGTTTCTGCAGAAAACAAGGAAATTGATGATGTGTGGTTGCGTGGTTGGTGAAAAACAATGCACCTGCAGGTAGGTCTGTCACTTCGTTCTATACTAAATTGAAAGAGTCTACAAACGGATAGGCTTAAATTGTGAAATAATCTCATTATTAGTACTATTAATTACGAAAGGACCTTTACAACTCATAAAAATGATGTGATGAACAATGATGGAGTGATTTGTTTGACATTTGTTATTTCTCTTATATCTGTTCGGATCAAATCAATGCATGTGTTGGTTACCCGTGCCTACTACTTGATGATACATGTGATGCATTTTTATCTTCCATCATCATATGATGTAAATATTATATTACATGTATTACATGTGTTATTATTACCAACACGCAACCAGTGAGCTAATAATCATATTAAAAAATTGTCTCTTGTGGAATAGAGGGTGAAAAGACATTTTTTTGTTTGTTTTTTTTGTGAGTTTTCAAGATGGATTTCATATTTGGGAGGTTTCCAAACAGATACCTCACATTGTGCTGATTAATTCTCAGCAATAATAATTGCAATAATTCATACAATTTATATTCCATTCATTGATCATCTATATTGACAGAATCATCATCCAATTGATTCAATATCAATCCTATTTGGGTTTAACTGTGTTTTATGATGAAACTCAATAGTTTATACCCCACAATTTATGGAGATTAAATCACACACTCATCTATTTGAATAAGATTTCCAAGAATTGATAGAGATATATTACTGTCTCTTAATGTTTAAAAGGCAATCATTTCACAAATTATAGAGTTATCCATAGATCTTCTTAAGCATCAATGAATCAAAGAAGGAAACTGTCTTTTTTATATTAATAGGGCGCAGTGGTTTCCTTAACATTTAAAATAAATGGCTTTGTTCTCTGAATAAATTCATATTAAGGATGAAAATAAAAAACAAATACCAATATATTATTATTATTAACCATTAACAATACTCAACACTACTACTACTATTACAAGAATGAAAAGTTGTGAAAATTATTCCTTAACATTGAATCACCAACAAAAATCCAAGCCATCAGAACCTCAATTAAGTCAAACCATTAGATCACCACCACCTCCACATCCACCTCCAAATAGAATAATTGAAAAGGTAGATTATGTAAAATTCTCAGTTGTTACATTCGGTCGTGTGGGTCAACAACAACAGAAGAAGTCTAATTCAAATATTAATAATACTAGTAGTATTGGTGGTATTAACAAAGCAGCACCAAAGGTTCGTGGGCGACCAAAGAGGAAAATATTACAAGTTGGAGCCATTCAAATGACCATTGATTCAACAGAGCCTATTACTACTTGCTCATCTTTAGCTAATAATCATAATGATGATGCTTATATTAGAGTGAGAAGACCTTCGGAGCACAAAAGTACATGTACCAGTGAAGATAATATTATTATTCAACCATTATCATCACCATTATTCAATAATATTATTCCTAGGAAGACCACCACTATAACAACGACCAATATTGCTACAACAACAAGTGAACGTAAGCATAGAACTGCAATAACCTTCCAAGAATTATTAAATTAATTTTTTTGCTCAAAGATGACAACAAGGCTTGTATCCACGTGTTACAATGTATTTCGAATTGAAAAGTTAAATAAAACAGGCTTGTAAAATGTTATTTAATGAATGGAAATAGAAACACATGCTTGAATATGTGATATACTCGAAACCTGCCATATTCAACTTTGATACTTAGAATATCAATTTGGAGTTTTAGACACCGATAGGTTGGTACTTTTAAAAAAAATTGAGTCAACCCGCGAAGCGCTGGACAAAACCTTCAGCACACAACCTCGTTCCATCATCTGATGCTTTTCATGTTGTATTTCTTCAACAACTATTTCTTCAACAACATCCATAATATAGATACATGTGTCTCGGAAGAACAATTACAAATGTTAATTCATATTAGCCTTAGAGTGTTATTAGATACATGTGCTACATGATCATAATGTAGGTGATGGTAAAAACAAGATGTGTGTGCCTGATCTGACTGTAAACAGCAACAACTTGTAATCCACAATATATTGTGTTGGTTACATCTGACCTTTCAATTAGTCTAACTGGCCACAACTTACTGGATTCCTCTTCTAGCCAAATGAAGATGATGTGCATGTTCAAATGTGTTGTGATAATGGAAACAGATTGATTTGGATAGTTGATAATTGTTGGACAATTGGAATATTAGAGAACTATTATTGAGAACACAATACATATTTAATACTAACCAGTTTTAGACTTTCTAATTTAATATTGAGATTTCATCTCTCATGACAAGAGTACAATAGTACAATAGTGCTTGCTATGTGGTCTATTCATTGTTACAACTGATTGTCCAACAAAAAAACAACAACAAGTAGCATTGAATTATCAATCTCAAATAATATAGGTATGTTGATAGAAAACAACAGCACTGTATCTATTGGAATGAATGTTCATTTGGCATGTTCTATAATTGGTAGTCAAACTTATTAAAGAAAGCCACAAGTAACAACAATTTAGTACAACAAAAAGACCACAACAACAAGAGTGATTAATTTTATTAAAAAATAATCATCACACATGAAGAAGAACCAGAATTCCAACAACATGTCATTCATTGATGAAACTAGCAATGTTACAAAGAAAGCAAAAGTGAAAAAGAGAAATAAGGAATTGAAAATTAAACAATCGAGATTGAGAAAACCATTACAAAATGATAATTTACTGAAAAATTATTTTGAATTTGATAAGCAACAATTAACAGAAAGTGATTTAACTATTTACAAAATTATTAATCCACCAAATGCATCAACCACCATCATTGATAATTCTAATACTTCTAGTAGTATTGAAAATAATACAACATGTCCAATAGAAACATCAACAGTTGATACAATTATTACATGTCAGAAGGTTAAATGCAAAACTATGAATAATAATAATTTGAATCAACATGCATCTAGTAATATTGAATATTCATCATCATCACTAACAATCAACTCAATCAACAGCAGTAGTGGTGGAAGCAGTACTAGTGGAAGCAGCAGTAGTGCATGCAGTGATAATACTTTAAAAGAAGAAGAAGCAGTAGAATTTGATGATTGTGAAAGCTTTCTCAGTTCAATTTCGTTTCTATATAATTAAGTTCTCTCTTTGAAACAGTTTTACGAGTAGTATTTACGCATGTCTATTTATGATCTATTCAAATTAAGTTCAATCAATAAACATGTAAAATTACTAAAAACATTAAATTAGCTCACACAATCATCGTTTCCAAAAGTTGTATTACTTTTAAGATTTTTTTAAACAATTATTGAATGCATGCTAACTTTTGTAATATAGGTTCTTCATCAAACAGGTGAGCACTATTCATTTCTTGCGTGCATGTGTTGCAAGAGAGAGATACGAATAAACATTAATCTAGTTGTCCAACTTACTTTTTATGAATATCGCAGGAACGAGTTCTACCTTCCTTATTCAATCCTGAGAACACATTTGGGGTCTAGAAAGCAATTACAACTTTAAAAAAAATTGAATCATGATGACAAAGCTAGAAAACCACACATGCTTTTACTATCTCAACACTTGGTAGATGTGTGTTGTATTTTTTGAAAATGTTTCAACAACAATTTATTTCGCGAAAGGTTTTGTGAGCCTTAAAGTGTTGTTGATGGCTTTTTAGAATCACATGTATTTATTGCATGCATGTGGTGAAGCATCATGATGATGATCTAATTGTTTGTTTGATGCATGTATCAAACTTGTACTCCATTGCATGCATCTAATAACACATCCATTCAACCTTCACATGCCGAATCATCATGGTTAAACATGCATGTCTATCATTTGTATTCGAATGGCTAATAGTCGGGCAATGGGAAATTAGAGAACTATTATTGAGAATAATTCCACTTATTTAATACTAATAACCACTTATAGACTTTCTAATTTAATCATTTGATTACATAACAACTCTCGCCAAGGCTTCATGACATGACTTTAGTTTACAACAAAAAAATCATCAACAAGCTCTCATCTACATTCAATCCAGTTCAAGAGAATATAACATTGACCTATCAATCTCAAATAATATAGGTATGTTGATTGAAAACACCAGCACTGTATCTATTGGAATGAATATACATTTGGCATGTTCTATATATGGAATGCTGTCTTATAAAAGAAAGTCAAATAACAGCAACAACAAGTTAGTACAACAAAAATACCACAACAAGAGTGATTAATATTATTAAAAAATAATCAAGAACACATATCCAATGAAGAAGAACCAGAATGCCAACAACATGTCATTCATTGATGAAACTAGTAATGTTACAAAGAAAGCAAAAGTGAAAAAGAGAAATAAGGAATTGAAAATTAAACAATCGAGATTGAGAAAACCATTACAAAATGATAATTTACTGAAAAATTACTTTGAATTTGATAAGCAACAATTAACAGAAAGTGATTTAACTATTTACAAAATTATTAATCCACCAAATGCATCTACTGACAATACTTTTTCAGAAAATATTACAACTTGCTCGAATGCATCATCATTATCATCAGGTACTAGTGAAAATGTAAAGGATACAATTATTACAAAGGTTAAATGCAAAACTATGAATAATACTAATAATTTGAATCAACATGCATCTAGTAATATTGAATATTCATCATCATCACTAACAATCAACAATAGTAGTGGTGGAAGCAGTAGTAGTGGAAGCAGTGATAATACTTCAAAAGAAGAAGAAGAAGAAGCAGTAGAATTTGATGATTGTGAAAGCTTTCTCAGTTCAATTTCATTCCTTTACAATTAAAAGAATCTCTTATTCGAATGAAAAAGTCAATAGAGTAGCATCATTACATTTCTATTTATGAAGTCAGTCACTGAATTAAGACCATTATTAAACATGTAAAACTTCCAAATAGATTAAATTAGCTCACGTCATCCATTCAACTTTTTATTTGATTTGTTTTCTTTTATTCCCGAACTTGCAGAGTTGAAAATTGAATTCGTTATCGTTGCACACTCACCATCAACAACAACAACAAACAACACAATTAATTGACACATGTATTTATTACTTGTAATTAATAAAAATATTTATAAAAAATGGGAAAACACAGGTGCCACGATTTTTAATTGTGTACAATCCGAATATTATTTGTGCTGCTAGCAATAATGGTACTTACTATAGTAGTATATTGTTTGTTGCTAATTTGTATTCCGCTGCAAGGCATAGGAAATCATCTATGATTATACGGATTTCCTACCTGAATATTAATCAAAGGCTTGAATGTACCTAATTTCTCATCAGCCAACTATTTAATAATCAAACGAATTGATGAATATTGAGAATTGAATTATGGAAGGCTTTGAATAATTTTACAATTATTAACCAATTTATTCCAAATGAAAAGTCCATATTGGAAAATTAAATTCCATTTGAGCTTGTGCTGAATTTGAATAGGTCTTTCTCTTTTGATATTCTCTTCTTTTCAAATGTTTTGGATTTGAATTTACAATACAATTACAAGATAATTTACAATATACATTATTTGAACAATGACAAGATGAAGTAGTAATAGAAGTGGATGAAATTGAGATTTTCTTCTTCTTTTCTGTATTTGGACTTGTATAATATTTGAAGGAAGAGGAAATCTTTCTCTTCTTCTGATTATTGATTATTGGTATGGTATTGAGCGTGGTAGTATTTTCATTATTGGTTGTGGGCAGAGGTATTGTTATTGGAAAGGTTTCTAATGCCTCATTGTAGTTAGAATTGTTTAATACTAATGAGGAAGTAATTAATTGTTGATCTTTCAATGGTTCATTTGAATGAAAATAGCAGATGTCATCTTGTTGATTTGTTGTTGTCATTTTGAATAATTCCCAACTCTGCATGAAATCAACAATATCAAGATTTAGAATTGGCTCATTATCTTGATATTGTATTGTATTGCTGAAATTGCTATTGAATGTACAGGTGGAAGAAGAGGTTATCAGCATGATGAACTAGTGATTTGTTTTTTTTGAATAATATCTAAGATGTGTTAGTGGTGCGGTAATTTTGTATATTCTGCACTACTTGAATAATATCCGTTCCAAGTCCAATTTTTCCAATTCGTTTTTGGATAGAGTAGCTTTTTTGGTTTGTGCGATGAATCAAATCAAAGCGAATTTTTAAAGAGAGAGAAATGACTTCGTTCACAACATCATCGTAAATCAAATATTCTTGAATATTCTCCAATATAAATTGATTGATCGTGAGATTTTACAACTTTCAAAACACATACAATATGTTAATAATAATAGATACATTCAAATAATAGATATCAAGTTGATGAGTATTTTGCAAAATATTGAATTTTGAATTATTTTAATAATTTACAATTTATTCCATATGAAAAGTCCATATTGGAAAATTAAACTCCATTTGAGTTTGTGCTGGATTGGAATAGGCTGAATTCTTTCTCTTTTGACATTTTCGTCTTCTTTTCAAATGTTTTGAATTTGAATTATCAATACAAGAAGTAGTGGATGAAATTGAGATTTTCTTTTCTGTATTTGGACTTGTATAATATTTGAATGAAGAAGAGGAAATCTTTCTCTTCTTTGAGATTGATGAGATATTGGGCATGGTAGTATTTTCATTCTTGGTGGTGGTGAATATTGTTGGAAGTTGAAACGTTTCTAGTGCCTCATTGTGATCAGAATTGTTTAATACTACTAATGAGGAACTAATTAATTGTTGATCTTTCACTAGTTCATCTGAATGAAAAACAAAGCGTTGTCATCTTGTTGGTGATGAACTTGTTTGATTGTCTGTAATATTTTCCAACTCTGCATAAAATCAACAATATCAAGATTTAAACTTGGCAATTCATTGTTACTGGTATTGATAGAAGAGGAGGAGGATGACATTGATGATGGAGAGACTATTCCACAATGAATATTAAATGGAGAGGGTACATCAACAT